AACTAATTTATCAAATTTATTATTCTTTAATTCTTTAAATAATTTGGTACGCTTCATTAAGGATATTAAATTTCGTAAAATGTGAAATGGCTCACGACAACAATCGTTATTACGAACGCTGCAAGCAATATGTTCATCATTAACATTGCCTGGATTAAAATAATAGAATTCTATGAATTTATAATAATATTTAGAATAATTTACCGTATCTCCGATTCTTTAAAAAAGTTATTTTTAGAAGCTAACATTATTTTACGTTTTCTTTAAATGTAAAAACATTTTTGTTCGGCTGATATATGATTGAAAAAAAAAAGACAAAAACCTCATCGATAGAAATGCTGCTTATTTATGGCAGTTTTCAAAGCATGAAAAAATAACAGGGAAGAAACATTCACTAAGATATTCTTTTAAAAATAGTTATGTCGGTCAACACTCCTCCCCCTTCTCTTGTATATGAGTAGAGGCTTACGCCTTGTTTCTTGTTTAGGAAGGGGTTTCCGGTACTCTCTCTCTCTCTCACTGGCCTCTGTATCTCCAGTTGCCTTGATCTATCCACTACCCTTCTCCTCATCCTTTCTTCTATCACTCCTATCTGATCTTGCTCCAAATTTTCTGTAACCCCTTGCGTCCTAGTGGCTTTCCGCCTTGCTTGGGGTGAAACGCTTTAAAAAAAAAATTAAATATAAACACCATTACATATGTGTGTGTTTGTGTGTGTGTGTGTGTGTGTGTGTGTGTGTGTGTGTACTTCTACAACTTAGTTGGGCTAGGCAGTTCCAAGTCTACCTGACATTCCCTGGTACAGGAGGAGTACATTTTTGGCCAGAAGAGAAATAAACTGTTGCCCTCATTTTAGAAGGAAAAAGGCGCACAATCCATGGATTTCAATCCTGCAGTAGCAACTCGCTCCCTCATCGCACTAAGGTGGTATCAGTGTAATATCGACGCCAGCGTGACAGCGGTCGCGAGGATTGTGCAATTTTTTCCTTGGCCCATATGCAAATACGTATGGTGCTCCACGCGTAAAAACCTGCTTATGGCATATCCTGCCTTAATAGCTGGGCCGGGTTAAATACTTACCTGACTTCCTTATGAGGAAAGCTCATTTTTAAGCGGGGTGTTCATACATGGGCATATAGACGAAGATCAGATTTCCGGTTTTTAAGGCCTTTTGATCGGGATCAAAGTGTAGTATCTGTTCTCTCCTCATTTTGAGACGGGAGAAAGTACCCGATCCAGAGAATTACAATCCTGCGGCAGAAACTTATTGTTGGCAAGAAGTGTTGAATCGCTGTAATATTACCTGCGGGGCACTGAGCAATTTTCCTTGAGGCATAGGCGTATGCACCGCTATATACACACATAAAAAAAACCTTGGGTCACTTCTGCCTTAGTCTCATGCTTGAACGCGCAAATCTTCAAAGGATGGCTTGAAGACTGCGTTCAAGCATGAAACGGACTGTTCAGCTTAAGAATTTTCCTCATATATACAGGTTGTATCAAAAATACTTTTAGAAACATATATCTGCAAATCATTTGTTTTTGAGTTAATTTTTTTTTAAATTACGATAGATGGCACTATGTTGTCATGTAGACTAGGTTACATTTGTTATTCGTGTACATTTGTGGCAAGTCTATCTTCAAGTTTAACCTGTGTAGTACTGAGTTAACTGAGAAGTGTTCCGTTTAACAAATAGCAGGATATTCATATCGTGAGCAGGCAGATATGATTTTTACATACGGCCGAGCGATGGTAATGGACGCGAGGCTACACAGCTGTATGACATTAAGTTTCGAGACAGAAGACAACCCAGTCATCTAACCTTTCCTGCTGTTCATCGTCGCGTTGCTAAGACAGGACCGTGACACCACTACGGATAGTGATAGGCCGAGATCCGCTTGTACGCCTGACCACGAGGAACACATTCTACAGGCTGACGGAGGTGATCCCGGTATCAGCGCACATCATGTGGCTCTAATATGTCGTACCGCATGGAGAGTACTTCAAGAGCAGTAACATGTGCAAAGTCTGTCTCCTTCTGATCACACAACAGAAAACTACTGCCGGTGGTCAATTGTACAAACTGCCGATCCGTTGTTTATCTCTTCAGTCTTGTTTACGGATGAGGCAATATTTGGAAGAGATGGAATAACAAATTTACACAACCAACATTTTTGGGCGGATCAGAATCTTCATGGTACAATAAAGGCTAGACACCATCATCAGTTTACGATTAATGTGTGGGCTGGAATTGTATTTTGCAATGTTGATTTCTATGTCTTCGCTCTCTCCCCCTCCTCTCTCTCTCTCTCTCTCTCTCTCTCTCTATCCGAGATTATAATGTATATTTTTTTCTATAACAGAACAATATTCCATAACTGTAATGACAAAGTAGAAAATAATCTATGTAAAGTATTTTGTCCTCTGAAAGAACTTCATCGGCCTAAAGGAATTTAACTTTTTCACCTTCCGATTTCAAATTTGTCGTTCCTGCCTCTTCAGACTTTTTTACTCGATACATACATAAAACCAGACTCTACTTTTAAATCATCGTTCTCCCTCATATATATATATATATATATATATATATATATATATATATATATTACGATAAACGTGCAATCAATTTACAAATTCATGAATTATTCACAAAAAACAAAAGCAAAAGGTTAATGATTTAATTGGCGAGAAATCCATCATCGCAAACAATTCAAATAATATACAAAAACCTCCGAATCCGTTATGAATGAATTGATCCTTGTTTCCATAAATTTCTGCCGTATTAGTTCTTATTTTTTACTACAAGCTTTCGTCTGTTCCTACAGACATCTTCAGGTATAGAATAGATGTTGTTCTTGTTTTTCTCTTAGTAATAAGAGGACAACGAAAATATATGTATTGTTGTATCCGAAAATGCTATTGAAAATGAGTTATTGTTTTTGGAGCGCGCCAGTAGCAACGCTGAGTTTGATTTTAAATTTTAAAGGTTGTGCGTTCATATAAATATGGTGATGAACGAATTTTTACTGGTAAATTTTCTGTCAAAGTGGCATGAACTATATTGTTCAATAATTACAGTAATGTGGCACTTATTATCCAAAAGTCGCACTTGGATCAGTTATTTAAATTACGATAAACGTGCAATCAATTTACAAATTCATGAATTATTCACACAAAAACAAAAGCAAAGGTTAATGATTTAATTGGCGAGAAATCCATCATCACAAACAATTCAAATAATATACAAAAACCTCCGAATCCGTTATGAATGAATTGATCCTTGTTTTCATGAATTTCTGCCGTATTAGTTCTTATTTTTACTACAAGCTTTCGTCTGTTCCTACAGACATCTTCAGGTATAGAATAGATGTTGTTCTTGTTTTTTCTCTTAGTAATAAGAGAACAATTAAAAATGAGTTATTGTTTTTGCATTTTCATTGTTGTATCCGAAAATGCATCAATAGCATTTTCGGATACAACAATACATATATTTTTTATATACAGGAGTATAACGCTACATAAATGCAATCATGTTTCGATGCATCTCATCAGGCGTTAGTAAATGACTGTCATTTAACAAGGCCTGTACACATCGAAACCTGATTGCATTTATGTGGCGTTATAATCATGTTGATGTAATTATCCAAAAATAAAGAATATAGCTCTACTTTTGTATTGAGCCCTCTTTCAAATTAATGTTACGAATATTGGAATTTATATTCTATTCGTTCTCATATATATATATATATATATATATATATATATATATATATATATATATATATATATGAGAGTCGGCTAAAAAGTTTATAAGCTGATTAAGATATAAATATAAGTAGATAAGCCAGTTGGGTACACTAAATAAAAGACATCCATGTGTATCTACCAACAGTTATATTTTGATATACTTGTATGTCTTTTAGTTAGTCTACTAACTGGTGTGTCTACTAACATTTATATCTTGGTCAGACTATAAACTTTCCAACCGATCGTCATAGATATATAAAAACAGTTGATAAATATAAATACATCAGTTTTATTTTTTACTACAAAAAATTCAAAACGAGCTATTTACACGATTTATATTCAGACAAATGTCTTTATCTTTGTTGTTATATTGCTTTTGTGATAACTCCACGTCCCAGAAATTCAGACAGAAATAGCAACTTAGTTATGAAAAATAATATATCCCAAACTTCCGACACCCCTCTATGGTGTGTATGAATATATTTGCCCGCTTGGAGAATGTTTATCTGTAAAAAATAAATAAATAAAACGTCTTACATAGGATATGACAGAACTACACACTCACAGAGACTCACCTGCCACCTGTTGGACCAGATTGCCATCAGACAACGCATTAAGAAGCTGCATAAGTATCATAGTAACATTAGAGAGCTACTCGCAGTCAATACCAAAATAATAGTAGAATCTAATAGTAAAAACAGACTTATGATCCTCGAAAGAATACTTATACAACAAAAAACAACCGACAATAAATAAAAAAACCAGGATTGTAGCACTTACTCCACATGAAGAAATATCAGGAAGTCCGAACGCCAAGTCATCACTAACCACCGACACAACAACAAGAAATCACAAGATCTCAAAAAACAATCATATCTGATATAAAAGCCCGAATGTAAGAAAAAAAAAATACACACACGTCACAATATTCTTAACGTCACAACACTCTTTTCCTACATCACAATGCTCACTAGTTCTACGAGATTTAACGATTGTCTCGACCTACCCTGATGACAACTTAAGAAAGTCGAAAGCTTGGACCATATTTCTTGTACTTTTCAGGTAAAATGAACTTCGGACATTTCTGATGGAATGCTCTCCTTGTCCTGGAAGGATTATTAGTAATTTGGAAAAGTAGTAAAAGTGCACTAAATTTGAAAAGACTCAGTGCGACCATGATATTTGCTTAAGTATTATTTTGTGATAATTAACCTTTTGTTATATTTTGTATAGATAAATTTTTATAGAATAA